CAGAAGGATCCTATAAACTTCAGACGGATTTAATTTTCGTTAATTGTTTCGGAGACCACTTCAAGGCTAAGCAGTTAAGGCAATCTTTGTCATGGTGTTGTTGGCTTCAATAATCCAGACGGGACTTCAACGAGTTTTGGTTTGGTTGATGAACTTTCACCGATGGGTTATAGGACTCATTCGTCTAGATCTGCCGATGGGCTCAATCTCAAGCCTCGTCAGCAGCTAGTTTTATAGGCAGATTAGCACTTCTGACAAAGACAAGGGAGACTGGAATGGCCATTTCTGGCTGATTAGCCGTTATCAGCTAACCATACTCGACCCCAGCGTGGAGATGGCTGGCAGATTTTTTGGTCTCTCGGTGAATACTCAACACTAAAAATTTTGAAGTTTACCCAAAATATGATTTGCTTGGCGCGCGCAAACGGGATTGTTATCATGTTGGGAAGCCATTTCTTTCTATATTAATCGCGGTGTCACCAGTGCCAACAAAGATGAGAAGAAACTCGGTTTGTTAAAAAACTCATAATAAGCATTTTTGATGTTCGACGGAATCGGACTACATTTGAATAGCTTCTCTCGTCGTAAAATTTTTCTTGTCGTCTTGTGGCATATTTTCAGCGAAAAAATGACAAAACCCAAAAGAGCGAGATGATACGCTAGCGATTATGGGGAAACTAGAGGAATGATCAGGGAACAACGACACAGATTTCGAAGGGACACTATTTCGGAATATTTTCAGCGAGTTGTAATCGTTCTTATTTCCTCGGTCGTTACTTTTTTTAAATAAAAGTCTGCTATATTACTCTTTACCCAACATCCCCACTGCTAAAAGTGATCCTTCTGGTACAACCTTGCCCATCCGAGTTCATGTTTCAACTAATTTAGGCTTGTTTGACTAATTAAGGTAAACCAGGTTGTTGACCGCAACCCTAATTACAGTGTACCGTGGTTCTAAGACATTTCCAACTTCTATACACATTAGGCAGGACTGCAAGCACTTCGACATGGCGCCACCCAACTGCTCCCTCGCAGAGGAGCTGCGGAACAATTTTGTTGAGCTAGAGACGATGTGGTCAGTATATGAAAAATTTGCGCTCGAAGTGCAGGAATTATCCAAGGAGGACTGGATTTCTTTTAGGTAAGCTGGCCGTTTAGAATTGAAGTCGTTTCGAGTGGGCGTCTTTTTCCATTATACCCTTTGCTAATTTGTCTACGCTTCAGTTTGTACGCATAAATTTTCTCCACCGAAATCTTTTCTTTTTAGATCTCGAACGTATGTATTTGAGGAATTTCTCAGCAGGTGGTTTGACCAGTTAAGGAGTGAACAACCGTCTTCCATAACAGCGATACTGATGAAAGAAATTGACCAATACAGGGTTAGTTTTCTCTCCGACTGACCTTTTGTGAAACTTTCAAAGGTCTTCTGTTCATTATGACTAAAAGTCTTCAACCGTTGCTTCGTTAGAAAACCAAGTTTCCGTTTTTGGTCAGAGAACTATCGTTGCAAGTAGTTTAAAATGTAGTTGTGACAAGAGAAGTGTCACTAATGGAAACTTCGGCAGATTCTCATAAGCTATTTGATCCAATTTTTTGAAAAATCGGTGGAATTTAAACCCATAACAGAAAGGGAAAGGGTTTAATGCAGCCAACGCTCTAGCCACTCGAGTTGCGAGGCCTCACCAGAAGCCGGGAATTTAATCACACTTGGGTAAAGTTACCCACCCAGCCTGCTGTAACGCATGGAATCCACTAATTCTGATAAAGTAATGTGAATACTTATTAGGAGGTTTGGCAGATGTGCTTAATTTGAGTTGACCCAATTGTGAAAATAAACTTGAGGCGTTCGGCGGAATTTCCTAAGCAACCAATATAGAATCTACCGGATAGCTAACAGGCGCATTTGATTAATAGGTAGTTTTTGCGAATTTGAATGATTAATTTAGTCTGAATTTGAAAATAGGCATCCCGAGAAATATAATTTGATGGAGAAATCCTTCGGGAAACGGTAACAAACTTTATTCGTAAATTTTCGACACTAGCACGCT